CCAACATGATGCCCGTGGGGAGTCCCTGAAAGCTGCCCCCAGACGTGCCATGGTGGGGGCTCATACGGGGGCTTCCGTTATCTGGCAGAGGGACTGTCGCATTTGCACCGGGACGGAATTTGGGGCCTCCCTCTTGAAGCGCCGGTGCCCCTCGCTGGCCCCCAGGGGGTTTCTCTGGGCAGGGATTGGCTTCAATTAGCCAGGCCACGGATGAGTGCGTGGACCCCCTGCTGGCCGCGTGGTGCAGTGTTTGAGCCTGGGTCCTACCTGTCTTGCCTGGTCTGCGTCGCTGACCCCCCTCCTCCCCTCCCCGGCGCCTCCTCCGGGCCAGCATATGCCGCGTCCCTCACGGCGGGGAGGGGGGCCCGTCCAGACCGTGGCGCTGACCCCGGTGCCTCTCTCTGTCCCCCTGCGCACGCCCAGGCGCCGCCATGGCGCAGACACTGCAGATGGAGATCCCCAACTTCGGCAACAGCATCCTGGAGTGCCTGAACGAGCAGCGGCTGCAGGGCCTCTACTGCGACGTGTCGGTGGTGGTGAAGGGCCACGCGTTCAAGGCGCACCGCGCTGTCCTGGCGGCCAGCAGCTCCTACTTCCGGGACCTGTTTAACAGCAGCCGCAGCGCCGTGGTGGAGCTGCCGGCTGCCGTGCAGCCGCAGTCCTTCCAGCAGATCCTCAGCTTCTGCTACACCGGCCGCCTGAGCATGAACGTAGGGGACCAGTTCCTGCTCATGTACACGGCCGGCTTCCTGCAGATCCAGGAGATCATGGAGAAGGGCACCGAGTTCTTCCTCAAGGTGAGCTCCCCCAGCTGCGACTCTCAGGGCCTGCACGCCGAGGAGGCCCCCACGTCCGAGCCGCAAAGCCCCGTGGCACAGACGTCCAGCTGGCCGGTCTGCAGCACACCGCTGCCGCTCGTGTCGCGGGTGAAGACGGAGCAGCAGGAGTCCGACTCAGTGCAGTGCACGCCCGTGGCCAAGCGGCTGTGGGACAGCGGGCAGAAGGAGGGCGGCGGCGGCAGCCGCAAGATGGCCAAGTTCTCCACGCCCGAGCTGGCTGCCAACCGGCCGCCGCAGCCCCCGCAGCTGCCCCAGCCGGCCCTGGTCCTGGCGGGGGCAGGGGGCGCCGGGGCGCCGGGGGCTGGGGCCAGTGGGCCCAGTGGGCCCAGCACGTCGGAGCGGACCAGCCCCGGCACCTCCAGCGCCTACACGAGCGACAGCCCCGCCTCGTACCACAACGAAGAGGACGAGGAGGAGGACGCGGGCGAGGAGGGTGCTGATGAGCAGTACCGGCAGATCTGCAACATGTACACCATGTACAGCATGATGAACGTGTGCCAGACCGGTGAGCGCCGCCCGCCCGCCCGCCTGCCCGTGCCCGCGCCCGCACCCCCTGACGCCCCCTCTCCCGCAGCCGAGAAGGTGGAGGCCCTACCCGAACAGGTGACCCCCGAGTCCCGGAATCGCATCCGGGTGCGGCAGGACCTGGCGTCGCTTCCGGCCGAGCTCATCAACCAGATCGGCAACCGCTGTCACTCCAAGCTCTACGACGAGGGCGACCCTTCCGAGAAGCTGGAGCTGGTGACAGGTGGGCCGGGGTCGGGGCGGCCTGGGGGAGGGGGCGACAGAGCGCCCGAGCCAGGGGCAGTGGCTCACACCCCCACTGCCCCGTCCCAGGCACCAATGTCTACATTACCCGGGCGCAGCTCATGAACTGCCACGTGAGCGCGGGCACCCGGCACAAGGTGCTGCTGCGCCGGCTCCTGGCGTCCTTCTTTGACCGGTAAGTCCGGCCGGGGGGCTGCGGGGGGCTCCGTCCCGGCCGCCCTGATGTGCCCTCCCCGCCCCTCCCCCAGGAACACGCTCGCCAACAGCTGCGGCACTGGCATTCGCTCTTCCACCAACGACCCCAGCCGCAAGCCGCTGGACAGCCGCGTCCTGCACGCCGTCAAGTGTGAGTGGAAGGGGCTCTGCAGGGTCCAGGCCCCAGCTCGGCTCAGCACCAGGGGCCAGCTGGAACTGGGGAGTGCTTTGGGGGTACACATTGGGATGGGGGGTCAGGGTCGCTGAACAGGGGGTGGCCTTGGGGTTTCCAGGAACCCACCCCCCCTGCACACCAGCCACTCTCCACCGAGACGCTGCCCACCCACCTCACCCCCACCCTGCCAGAGGTGGCCGAGAGCAGTCTAGCTTGGGACCAGACTGGGGTAGACTGTGCAGCAGCCTGTGCTCAGGGCTGCCCCCTAGTGGTGCTCAGGGGCGCCCCGTTGCCTGGTGCTAGGTGAGCCCCTGCCCCGGCTGCCCGTGCGCCCCTCGTCTGTGTCCGCATTTACGTCTCTGACCCCTGCAGCCAAGGGCCCCAGCTGTGGGTGTCAGGCTGACATCCGTGGGTCGTGGTCCCGCCTCGGGGGGCCCCGTCCGAGCCACCACTCTGCCCGCCCGCAGACTACTGCCAGAACTTCGCTCCCAACTTCAAGGAGAGCGAGATGAACGCCATCGCCGCCGACATGTGCACAAACGCGAGGCGCGTGGTGCGCAAGAGCTGGATGCCCAAACTGAAGGTGCTGAAGACCGAGGGCGACACCTACACCACCTTCATCAGCGACACAGTCAAGATGGAGCTGGACATGACGGGCAGGATGGAGCTGGACCCCATGGGCGTGGAGCATGGCTTCGACGCGGCCAGCCACGACCAGCACGACGGCGACGCAGGGACCTCGGCCGAGGCCCTGCAGTGACCCGGCCGCCGGCCGCCTCGTCACGAGCTACTGTACACGGGGGGTGCTGCATGCCCCCGGCCCCCCCGCACCCCTCCCCCACCCCACCCTGAGCGGGGCCAGAGCGGACCTAGGGGGGCGGGGGGCGGGGGTGAGGTCGGCGCTGCCTCCCGCGATCACCTCACTCTTAGCAATTGACCCCCACAGCCAGCGGCAGGGCAGGTTGGGGGGGCCCGGCAGCCCCTCCCCATGCCCTGGCCGCCTGGCAGGAGCATTCCTCAGCCTTCGCCCCTCACGGCAGCCCCTGAGACTTGCAGGGGCCCTGGGGTTCTCAGGACCCCTCTGCCCCCCACCCCTCAGCCCCTCCACACAGGCCCCCCCCCAGTGCTTCCACGTTTCCAAAAGCGCCTTCCTGTCCCCCTCGTGTGTCCCTGCGTCGGGCTGGTCAGCGAAGCCCCAGGGCACCCCGTTTGACCGCGGAGGACGCAGGCTCAGAGTCCCACATTGGACTTCAGGTGGAGGCGGCCTCGCTGGCCGGGTCCAAGAGTGGGGGGCGGGGGGGCCGTGATCAGCCTCCTGCCCCCGTCATTCCCCTGGGGCCCGAGTTGGGGGGGGGCCGGGGGGCTAGCTGGGGTGTCTGCGGAGAGGGCCAGTGTCCGGGGCTCACAGAAGCTGCATCTGAGCGTGTGCATGTGTGCGTGCGTGGGGGGAATAGGCAGGGGACCTGGGGGTGCAGGTCGGGGGGGGGGCAGCCGCCCTGCCCTCCCGCCCCCAGCAGGGCTCCCTGCTGCCCCCCTGTATATACTTTTTAAAACCTTTTTTTAGTGAATGAAATACGGAAGTATAGGATTTCTTTTGTTTTTCAAACATACGGGATTGTCCATGGTGGTCCCCGAGGGTGTGGCAGGGGTGCGTGCATATGGAATGTGGGTGCGCACTGCCTAGGAGTGGGGGGCCCTGCTGCTGCTGCTCCGGTGGGGGTGTCCAGCCCCCCGGGCCCTCCCCCTGGGGCACCAACGGGCGTCCTGGCCTAATGCCAGGTGGGGGCCCCCTCTCCCCCCAGAGTTTGACTTTGACGTGACCTTGAAGTCCAGGTCTTTTTATTTCCTTTTTTTACCCCCCTTTTGAACCTTCAGCACCGCACACGCAAACACCCCCGCCCTGGGTGTCGCTCCCCACCCTGCCCTTCCTGACTCAGGCCGGTGGGGTGGCGGACAGCCCGGCTGGGGGCCAGGCCCAACCCCAGCACCTTAGCGCCCAGCCTGTCCGAGTGGGGGAGGGGGACAGCCAACACCCCCAGCTAAAGCACAAGCACCTTAGTCCTGCCCCGCCCCTCCCCCAGCCCCAGCGATGATCCCAAAGCACAAACTCCTGGTCATGGAGGCGAACGGGGAGGGGGGCCCGCGCGGGGGCTCCAGCTGAACCCCCAAAGGCAGCAGAAGCTTCCCAGGCGCTCCCCTCCTTCCAGGCCTTAGTGGGGGGCCAGGGACTGGGGGCTTCTCCCTCCCACCCCCTGGCCTGGGCTGCCCCCTCCCCCCACCCCACCCCTTGCTTCAGGGACCCCAGGAGGTGCCCCTGGCTCCCGGGCCCGAGTGGGTGGGAGTGGGGGAGAAGGGCCAGGCGGGGACGAAACTCCTCATCAGGAGAGCCAAAGAGAGGGTTGTGCCTTACCCAGGAGCCCCTGCACCCTGCATGGACCCCCGCCCCACCCCGGGCAGTCGCAGGAACACTAACCGCCGCCACGGCCGCAGAGACTGGGGGACCCCCTCAGCTCTGCCCCCCACCTCGTTGACGCTGGATAGACTACCCCCCTTCCCCCAGCCAGCCGACCCCGTGAAGTGCCAAGGCCCTGCCCCCAACCCCCCTCGGGATTGCACACACTACTGTAAGGCCGCATGGACGGACGGACGGACACACGCGCTGGGCAATGTGAAGCCGCCGCCGGCGCCGCTGGCGGAATAAACGAACGCCTTTGTAACAGCCTGCCGCGTGCTGCTGGGTAAACTGAGGGGATCCCCGCCACCCCAAAGTGCTCGCTCACCTGCAGGGAGGAGGCACCCCACTGTGAGGAGGAGCCTGAACTTTAAGGGCTTGGTGGGGGGAGAAGGTATGCTTCTGTTCAGGAAGAGGGGTCAGACTGGCCCCTAAGGTGCCCCTCAAAAACAGTTTCTGAACAGAAAGCCTGTTTTCACACACACGCGCCTTGGCCTGGGGGTAGGTGGGCTGTGAGCCGTAGAAGTCCAGGAATGGGCTGCGTGAGACACAGGTGTATCAAAATGGGCTTTATTTCCAGGTTGGCATGGAGAGAAGTTTGAGGCAGACATGGCTTGGGGTCGTGGGAATTAGAAACAGGGAGGGGTGTCTCCCTACCCACCCACACCCTAAGTGCACTTGAGATAAGACTGGCGTTAGGGCGCTGGCCCTGGGGGTGCCACCGGCTCAGGGACGAGAAGGTCCTTGGGATGAGCGCCGGCTCCACCGCGTACGCACACCGGGGGTCTGGCCGGCTCAGAGAAAGAGGAGCAGGGCCAGCAGCAGGAGGAGGAAGCCCAGGAGCACGGCGATCGCGCACCACTGCCGGCGATCTGGGGGTGACGGGACGACGGTCATGGGGATGGGGGGGCAGCAGCACCAACCGGGCCCGTCTCCCTGGGGCACTCACCGCTGGTCATGTGGGACACTTTGGCCATCTTGCGGAGGACCCCGTCCATCCGGGACTGGGTGTGCTCCATCTCCTGCGTGAAGGCATCCAGCATGCTGCCGGGACCAGGAGCCAGTCAGCCCCAGGGGGCCCTGTGCGCCAGCCAGCATGGCCAACATGGGGGCCCCGAACCCCACCCCCGGGCTCCTGGCCTCACATGGCCTGCTCGTCCAGCTCGTCCCCAACCCGGCTGGACATATGCTTCAGAACCCGGATGCTCCCGGACACCATCTCCAGCTGCTGATTCTGCTGCTCCACGATCAGCTGTGGAAAGGGGGGGGGGGGGCAGAAGGCGCTGAGGGGGGGCAGAGCAGGCAGGCCCCCACCCCCTTGCCAAGCCCCTGCAAACCTGCTGCGTGGCTTGTTGCGCCTCAATGTAGCGGGAAGCTGTGGATACCGCACTGGCATCCAGCAGGTCACTGGACGGCTTAGGGGCCCCAGATGAGCCTGCCAGGATCTGGGGACACAGGGAACAGTGGGCCTTAAAGCCAGCCTTGGGCAGGGGGGCACTCTCAGCGGTGCTGAGCCCGGTTGGGGCTAAGGGTGCAGGTTCCCCACCCTGCCAATAACAAGGTGACCTGAAGCCACTTCATTGCCCCGGTCTCAGCTGGAAATGGGGCACCGTGTTTGCCTGCGGTTGGGATGAGGATTGTGCAAACCCATCCACAGATGAGCAGCAGTTACAAGATAACGTATATTTTGAGAACGAGAGCTGTATTCTGTTTGTTTGAAGTACTTCCCTGCCTTGATTTTGGGGTCACACCTGATTGCTTGCAGGAATCACCTGCAGATTGGTCTTTAGGTTTTTCTTCTCCCTCATTCAGCAAACTGGGGTCACAATAGCACATGCCCTGGGGGCTGGCTAAATTTGGGACACATGCACGGCAGTCCTTCTCAGGGACCTCTCGGAGGTTCTTTGCCGAGGAGTCACAACTTGGTATTCCCAAATCAGACTTCACCTGTCTGCTGTTCCTCTCCATGACGGCCATGGCAGTGGGGCTGACCATATGGTCCCTCATTTCCTGGAGTAAAGCAAGCCAGTATTGGCGTCCTCCCTGCACTCCCCCGCCCCCGCTCCCAACCAGCCTCACGGGCTCCGCACCCGCCTCACTGGAATCCCACCTCACCTGCACGGCCTCCCGCATGCGCTCCACGAACGCCTTCCGCTCTTGCAGGTCTTCGGCCAGGAGCTTGAACTTGCCTGGGTTGGCTTCCACGATGCGTGCGTCGCGAGTCGAGAGTCAAGGCCATGGCCGTCCAGGCACAAGCCCCTCCACGCCCCCCCAGGACTCCAGTCCCGCGCCCCGTGCCCAGGCCGCCCCCACCTCGCCCCTCTGCCCCCAGGATATCGATGGTCTCCTCCAGGTCCTCCAGGTCCCATTCGATGCTGCGCAGGCTGTTCCGCAACTCATTGGTCGTCCAGTCCAGCTCCTCGCGCCCCACGGCCGCGCCCTCCTGCAGGAGCTCGCCCCAGCGCTGGTACAACCCGCGGGCCGTGTTCACCGCCTTCTGCACCTCGCTGCGGGAAGGGGCACGGTGGGCACGGCTGGCACCCCCAAACAAGGGCGAGCAAGTCCCGGCCCTCCTAATCACCGGCGAACCTCTTCCCGCTCCATCCCGACCTGCGTTCCCGGACCGCCGTGCCCACACCGCCTGGCACGCTCCCGCCGGCACGCGGGGCACCGGCTGACAGCCGCGGGGCTGAGCACCCTCGTCCCTACTCCTCGTTGGCACTCACCCTCGGACCACGAAGAACGGGTCTTCGAGAGACATGTCACGCGCACGCGGGAGGCCAGGCCCCCTCCTCCGTCGGCCGGGCTCCCGGGTCCCCTCCCAGCCCGGGAGGACGCGCGGCCGCCCCCGCCCCCGTCACGTGACTCGAGCCGCCAGCGAGAGCGGGGCCTCCAGGACGGAGAGAGAGGCCTCGGCGGCTCCGAGCGCAGACTTCCGCTCTCGCCGCGGCCATCTTGGTTGTGGAGAGAGGCAGTTTCCGGTCCCTGGGCCCCGCCCCCAGGCGTCGGTGACTGGGAGACCCCCGGGACCCTCCTGGTCCTCAGCAGTGTACCGGTTCTTTTCGGCTGGTGGGGAGGGGCGAGGCTGCGATTTCTTGAGTTCCGCTCGGAGCTCGGAGTCGTTGGGTTCGGGAACCGTCGGATTAGTGCAGCTTCAATTTGCCCAAGTAAATAATTCCCTCCTTGAAATCACATGTGGCGGCTTGTGGGTGGGGGACGTTCGTTCCATCCGGGGACCATCTTACACAATTCCCTGAGCCCACGCCAGGCTCCAGCACATTGTCTCAGCCCGAGGTGTGAGGTGGCAGGTTAGGGGAGGGAGAGGTGCCCCCGGCCGGGTGGCCCTAGGTGGGGCGCCGGAAATACCGCTGGGGGTGGGGGCTTCCTGGCTGCGAGCCTGGGAGCGTGGGAGGGGACTTGCGGGCTGAAGATGATCCCCAGGGGAGTCCCCGCGTGTGGGGTCGGGCTCCATGTGCTGAGGCCCCGCAAAGTGCGGCGAGGGGTGTTGTGGAAAGATTCGTTGGTCGCCCCAGGTTTGACGGGCGTCCTGTGCGGGGGTCTCGGGGAAAACATTTTTCGGTTTTTCGCACGCGAGCAGATGAATCAAACTATCGCCTGCGTGGTACCGGATAGCGCCCCGGGAGGATGAACGGGATATGGGGGGTGGGGTCGTCTTGCCGCGTAGGTGCTCCTTGTGGAGTCCCCTTCGTGGGTGGCGGGGGCGTCTTCAGCTGGTCGCCGAAGTGCGTGGCAGGGTGGCCAAAGGGGGGCATTTTTAGAAAAGGGGGAATTGAGCGCCCACGTGCAAAAGAAGGGAGCCGCGTCAAGAGCCTCTGCAAGCTGCGGATGCAGGCAAGAGGAAGCGCTGCAGTGACTGCATGGGCGGGGGCCTAGCAGGGGTCAGGAACTGGGGCTCCGCGCAGGGACGACGAAGGAAGGTGTCTCCTGCAAGTCGCCCCTGGCTTAGAAAAGGCTTTGTGTGCGATCTCCAGGGCCTGGCGTCAGCGGAAGCCCGAGGTCGTCGCCCCTGGCCGCCGACTGGGGTCGGCTGCGGGGGGGGCTTTCCCGGAGGGGCGTCACGACGCCTTCCTAGCCGCGGGTGGGGAGGAAACGAAAGCCGCCACCCCCACACCCCGCAGGCCCGGCAGGACGTCGGGCCGGAAGCCGGGGGCTCCAGCGCGCGGGGAGGGGAAAGAGGCGTGGCCAGGGTGCTGGCCCCGCGGCCCGGAAGGCGCCACCAGCACCCGGGCTTTGTCCTTATATGGGCAGCCGGAAGGGCTCGCGCGTCCGCCCTACGTCAATACTTCCAAATTTAGTCCTGGAAGTCTGGCCCGTAGCGCGCCAGTCGGGGTGGGGGCGGAGTCTCCCCTTAAAGGACCCTGGCCTCGTGGAATTTGCCACCCTATTCGCATTTGGGGGACATTATTTGCGGGGTGGGGGATTGCCACGGGAATTAGGTTGTTTGTTGGAACGCGGGGCAGACAGTGAGGCCCTGCCTGTTTTTCCCTTGTCCGTCTGCTGCATCTACGCGAGACTGGGTTTCCCTCCTCCCACCCAACCCCGCCTCTCGGGGTGCAGAGGCGGAGCACGGCCTGTGCGGTTTTGGGGGGCGGCAGCCACGTGTTTTCCCCAAGCTGTCGGGCGGCAGGGTTCCCCGCCTGGAGAACACGCTGCTCTCCCGTGGAGCTCGTGCCGATGGAAACGGGGACGGGGGGAGGGGGGTGCGGAGAGGCAGCTCCGAGGTTCGATCTGCAAACACCCGCCGCTTCTAGTGTGGGCCAGGGCCCTGGAGAAGCCAGCGCTGCCCACCTTCCTGCCGATGGGAGTGAAAGAGGCCAGACCCTCATTAGCAGATGTGGCATGAGTCATTCGGCCTCGGTTTCCCCACCTGAAGAAACCAGGTCTAAACACTCCGCGGAGCGGAGATGGACAGTGAGCTATTCAGGAAAGGAAGACGACAGCGCGCAAAGACAGTAATTAGCTAATAAGTTAGCAACGTTGTGGATTTGGGGGTGGGGTGAGTCAGACGTCTTGTAGATGCTGGGAACAGCCCACGGGAAATAAATCCGCTTGAATCGGGCTCTTCCGGGGGGCCAAGGGGCGCTTGCCCCCACCAACGGGGGGAGGGGGCTTAAGATGCAAAGGTGTAGGTAAGCCGTCCCCTTTCCTGGGCATGCGCGCTCCTGCTCTTGTGGGGTGAGTGCTGAGAAAAGGTGAGCACCCCGAGAGTTCAGCATGAATTGGGGGTCCTGAAGGGACCATTCCACGTCGCCCCCCTTGGCCAACCCTCTGGCTTGCTCAGTAAATTCGATCCTGTCGCTTTAAGAAGTCTCGCCACTTTGAGGCGGAAAGCCCGGATGTGGCTGTGATTGGGCGGGGCGTCCGGGTGACCTCACTCGGGGTACAAAAGGGCCCGGGTGGCAGGCGCCGGGGCAGAGCGTCCTAGTGGTGTCACGACGTAGGTGGGCACGCGGAGAGAGGCGTGAGCGAGCGCGGCGCCCCCGAGAGCACCTGCGCCCTGTCCGACCCCGCCCGGGAAGCCCCCACCACTCTCGCTGCAGCCGTCGAGCCGCCATGGAGGTGCAGAAGGAGGCCCAGCGCATCATGACCCTGTCGGTGTGGAAGATGTACCACTCCCGCATGCAGCGCGGCGGGCTGCGACTGCACCGGAGTCTGCAGCTGTCGCTGGTCATGCGCAGCGCCCGCGAGCTCTACCTCTCCGCCAAAGTGGAAGCCCACGAGCCCGAGGTGCCCTTATCACCCGCCCGCTCCCCCGACCCTCGCCTGCACCCGCCGCGGGAAGCGGAAGCCGCGAGCGAGGCAGCGCCCCCGGACGGGGAGCTTCCGTCTCCGGAGCCCATGGACACGCAGGAGGCGCCAAGCGCCGAGATCGCCCCGGCGCACTCGGGCCCGACCCCCGCCAAAGTCAGCCGTAAGAGGCGGAGCAGTAGCCTCAGCGACGGCGGGGACGCCGGACTGGTGCCGAGCAAGAAAGCCCGTCTAGAAGAAGAGGGCGAGGAGGAAGGGGCGTCCTGCGAGGACCCCCCCGGCCGCTTGCAGGCCCCCGCCGCGCAAGCCGAGGGCGCCTTCCCCAGCCTGGCGCGCGTCCTGCAGCGGCGCTTCTCGGGCCTTCTGAACTGCAGCCCCGGCGCCCCCCCGACGGCGTGCGAGGCGAAGCCGGCCTGCCGCCCGGCGGACAGCATGTTGAACGTGCTGGTGCGGGCCGTGGTGGCCTTCTGAGGGTCCCCCGGAGCGGCGCTACCGGAGCCCAGTGCGCGGGCCGAACCGTCGGCCGGACGGCGCAGACCCGAGGCGAGGCGCCACCCTCACCCCCGGGGGAGCGCCCGCGGGAACGGTGAAGAGGAGCTGCCGAGAGGCTCGGAAAGGGACTCCGCCCCCGGGGAGCCGTCGCCATCTGCGCGCCCCCGGAGGGAGGCACCGAGGTGTGTGGGGCGCGGGCGCCCACAGGTGCTGGCGGACACGGCCCGGGCACGCGGCCGCCTTCCGGGCCCGGGAGAGCCGGGAACGCCCGGTCTTTTCCGGCCTCTGCTCAGGCCCCGACTCGATGCTGACGGCGGCGACGAATTCCTTCTCCACAATAGTTGGCGGCGCGGCCGCGGCCACTCCCATCCCCCGCCACGGACACACTTGTGCAAGCGCGCGGCGTTGCATCACGGGGCAGACGTGGGGAGCTTCCTGTCGCCCTGCGTGGGTGTGGGGCCTGGGACAAGGCGCCCGGGTGCAGGACACCCTCGGGGCAGGGCAGGGCCTGGCAGCCCTGGAGCGGGGGAAGGGGCGCGCGTCAGTTGGTGCGTTTGGACACCAGCTGGGGGCCTCCCGCAGACTGTATCCACGCCCCCCCCCACTCTCCCGGGGCCCCCGGTGGGACACGGGCTGGGGAAAGGGGGCCCTCGAGCTCCCAACGGCTAAACTGGGCCCAGTGGTGAGTTTGGGCGGCGGCAGCGGGGCCGTTGGCGGTGCTGGGCTGCCCCAGGCTCCGTCTCCCAGCCCCATGCTCGTGGCTGCCGAGAGGTAAATAAAGACGATTTGAACGAAGAAGTCGCTGCGGTGGTCTCCTTTGCTCGTCCGCGGGGAGGGGGGGTTCAGACGCCGGCGGGGATTGGGGGGACAAAACCGGTCGGACCAGCTACCACGTGGGCAGAAGGGGCCCAGGCCCCCTTTTTCTTTGCCTGGGCACTTCCGTCCTGACGCTGGAGTTTCCCTACACAAGATGTGAGGGCGCCTCTGAAATTTCCCTGCCACCCAGGAGAAGGGGGGGGTACCGTCTGGCGGCCAGTCCCCAACTCCCACCTGACTGACGCCGCTGGGGGCGCCCACCGGGGTCGCTTCCCAGTCTTGGCCGGCTTAGTGGGGTTTTGGGGCTTAGGCCTGGTCATTGGAAGCCCCCAAGAAGAGGGCTCCCCTCCCTGGGTTCCCACTGCTAGCGCCGAGACGAGGGGCGCGGGGTGCCGGCGCGCAGGACAAAGGAGCCCCAGGTGCGGGCCGTGCGCGCCGAGGGGGAGGCACCAGCCCCGCCCCCGACGGCTGCCGGCGCCGCCGCGCGCTAACCGGGACCCGGGGGACCCGACCCCGAGGCCCGAGGGTGGAGGGGGTGGAGGAAGGTGCGAGCGGGAGAGCGCGCTGGGGGAGGGGCGAGCCTTAGCTCTGCGGGGGGCCCTGGGGAGGGGCTGGGGCTGCGCCTCTGCGTGGGAGCCTGGTGCGACCCGGGAAGTCCCGGCGCCTGGGAACCGCCGGCCCGCCCTTCCCCCTTCCTTCCGCGGGAAGCCGCGGGCGCCCCTGCAGCCGCCCAGCCGTTGGGGTTTCCGGTGCCCGCCGGGGCTTGAGACAGGATCAGCGCCCCTCCCCTCCCCCACATACGTACCCCATCCCCACACACACACACGCATCCCGCCTCCTTACACACCCCATTGCTGCCCCACACTCCATCTCCCTACACACACCCCTCCCCCGTATACACCCCAACCGTCTCCTATACACACCTACCCGGACACATGCACCCCCATACACACATCTCATACACGGCCCCCCATAAACACACATCTATACCCATTCACACCAAAACATGCATTACCCATGTATACCCAACTCCCCCCAGACACACATCCTTCTTAGTACTCATGGAGCTGGGGAGGGAGGGGGTCTCTTCTGAAGGCTGCAGCACATGCTGAACTTGCGGGATCTAGGCCCCACCCCACCCCTCTATGTGCTCCCCCAAACAGACAAGATGGGCCTTGGGCTGGAGAGGCCGCACAGCAGGAAGGAGCCTGCCTTATGGGCAGCCAAGCTGGGTTCAGTCCTCAGCACCCCAATAGGGTTCCTGGGGCCTGTCCAGGAGTCATCCTCTGAGCAGTCAGGAGGAAGCCTAAGGTCAACAATACCCCCTCACTCCCCCCCACCCCCCACCCCGCCTCCACAAAAAAAAATCTCCTTCCCCCAGTTCCCCCAACACACACACAGCCAGTGGGAGATAGCCAAGCTGGGCAAGGCCTGGGGCTGTGGTATACAGCGGTCCCCAGAACCCCGGGCTTGGGTACCCAGCCGTGCTGGCTGCGCCCCGGACTGAGACAGGCAGGCCAGTCCTAGAAGGAGGGGGACTTCAGTCAGCTCAATGTTCAGCAGGCTTTGAAGCGATCAGTTTCTTGCTGCGGGCCTCAGTTTCCCTGATTGTAAACCAAAAATTCATAAAGAGCCCTGCCGTCCCTGGGCCTCCAGAAAGTCTTATGACAGACTGTAACTTGTTACTTCCAACTGGAAGGCCGGTGATTGGTCATTTGCTACAGAAAGCCTTCTGACTTTTCCAGAAGGCTTTGTTCCTTGTTAGAGACCTCTGTGCGTTTTCACTTGGGCCTTCTCCCAGAAGCCGCGCTGCTTTCTGCCAGTTAGAGCCCAAAGGCTGCAGCTTCTGGGAGCGAGAGCCTCGCAACCCCCCCCACCCCCCCTCACACACACACACCCGCCAGCTCACTCTACCTAGCCAATCCCCTGGAGCTGGAGGCAGGGGCTTCACCTCCTCCCGCCTCAGGCCCAGCCTCAGCCTGACCCTACTTGCTGCAGCCTGTCTGCCCAAATGCCTGCGTGAACTGCGATCTGCAGGGGCTGCAAGCCTTTGCTTTTGTTCAGTCAAGTGAAGGTTTGCGGGCACTTGATGCGCATGCGCTGGCAGCACATCGCTCACCGAGTTCTGGGAAGGGTGGCTGGCTGGGCATTTCCCTAGCCAGACAGCAGAATCGATCAATCTTTTCTTCCTGGGACCTCCTCAGAAGGCCTCAGGGGGCCCCTCCAGCTGATTCTCTGCCAGCTGACCCTGGGCAGTTCCTGGGGGACATTCAGGGGGTGCTCTGCGTGCCCCGTGAGGCTGTCTGCCAGCAGGCCAGCTCCTGGCGTCAACCCCAGCTCCCGCCTTCAAGGCATTCCCTCCTCCCTTTCTTCAGGTTTCAGCGGAAATCCGCCACCTTGAGGAGGCTTTCTTTGGCCATCTGCTCCTAAACTGCAGCTTCCGGGTTCTCTCATAGTCTAAGAGGACACTTTTCAGCACCTGTGCCCCCATTCAAATGTCAGACACACCAAGGCCCAAGCCAGACGCAGTGAGTGACTGATGAGATCCCCTGGGCTGAGCCCCTGCAAAGTGCTTTCTATTTATTCTCCCTCTTATTTTATTGCAGGGAGGGAAGGAGCTTACCTGGGGATGCTTGGGGGGGGGGGGGGGCAACTGCATCTCTGGCTGTGTTCAGAGGATGGGGCATGTCAGGTGGAGGAAGGGAGGGAGTCCCGTGCCCAACCCAGTCCTGACAGCCAGCCAGCTGTCTCCAGCTCACTGTCTCCTGGAACTCTTAGAATTCCAGTCCCCAGTGAGGTCAGGATTGTCTGTGCACTCTCCTCTCTCTCGCCCCCCTCTTCCTCCCCCCGCCTGAATGTGTGTTACAACTGAGCTATTTCTGTAACAATTTAACCCTCCGCTTCTCCACTCATTTTCTTCTTAAGGTAACAATTAATAAAGATACAGAGCAAAGGAAAGCTTGTCTCAGGGTCCTGCTGAAACAGTAGCCAGTGGGGGCTGGAGCTTCCTCTTCACGCGGGACTGGCGGGCCTGAAAGATACTTTATTAACAAAGGCAGAGCCAGACTGCCCAGTCAGAGCCGCACTCCCCAGCACACTCGCTGGGCATGCCAAGGTTCTTGTTTTGTTTGTTCGGTTGGCTGGTTGGGGCCACACCCAGCAGTGGTCAGGACTTACTGTTGGCTCTGAGCTCAGAGGTCACTCCTAGTGACCACGTGTGGTGCCAGGATCAAAGCCTGGGGCAACTGCATGCAAGGCAGGTGCCATAGGAGTGGCGGCCACATCCCACGCTATTTCAAGAATTCGGAATTGCTCTGTTCCCCCATCTAAGATCTAAGGACATTCTGCCTGGAGACTGACACCCCTGTGGGGTCCCGCCACCCACCCTCTCAGGGCCCCACCGACCTTTCAGTTTTGCATAAACTCCACTTAGCACCCCTGTACTGTTCTCTTGAGCTCAGTTCAAAAGCAAACCATTAGGGCCAGTTTCTTCCTCCACCCCTGTGCCAAGCCACAGAGCTGTCACTGACCAGAGCTGTATTCACTCTCATAGACCTAACTTCAGTTTGGGGTTCATCTGCCCCTCCCCCCCCGCCTGTGGGTTCCCTGTCCGGGAGTTGCTTACTAGTGAACAAACTAGTGCATTTGCAACTTCTCTTAAACACGGGGCAGCTGAGGCCCGGAAAGCAGTTCCTTGAAGGAGCACCAATAGGAGCAACCCCCCCGCCGAGCCTCCACTACTCCGCCGCAGGACCCAAGACGCAGGCTGGGAAAGGGCCGGCTCACAGGCCAGCAACAGCCCTGAAGCAGCGGCCAGACCGGTTGACCCGGTTCTGGAACCGGGGCGAGGTCCACTGGCCCCAGGGTGAGACTCGGGCCGTGGCCCGGCGGCTAGGGGCGGGGCTGAGGGTTCGGACGCTCATTGGCGGAGGGCGGAACGCGCGGGCGTCAATCATGGGGAGGGCGGGTCTTGTGAATTGCATGGCGCAGCCCCGCCCCAGAGGCCGCTTCCGGGCCCCCGCGGGGACCCGGCTGCCATCTTCCCTGCGGCCCCGAGCGCCCCCGCGGGCCCTGAGGCCGTCCCCCGGGGCGGGGCGGGGCGGGAAGGCGGCGGAGGCGCTAAAGCCTGGAGCGGAGCGGGCGGACGCTGAGCGCTGGCCCCGCACCCGAGGTGTCTTAGGGGGCCCTGGAACCCCGCGCCCGTTCCCCGGGGAGCCGGAAACTGACACAGATGTCCAGGGGCATCAGGAGAGTCACGGGCAGCCCAGAGTTTGTGTCCGAGTCGCTTTTCCTTACACCTGCAGTTTCGCGAGCTCCGTCGACCCCACCTCTGGGTTAACGGGGGATCTGGGCTCCCCAAATGTGTTTAAGAGAACCTTCCTCATATCTGGAGCTGATACCCTCAGCCCCCCTACTCCTTCCCATGAGAACCCTGGGCTCTCCCCATCCCACCATCAGTCCCTGTCCATGCCCCACTGTGGACTGAGTGAAGAACCCTGGGACAGACGGATATGCCAGCAGGGCACCCGCCTTCTGCCCCTGGTCCACCTGGGTTCAATCCCCGGCACCTGTTTGTTTGTTTGTTTTGCTTTTTTGGGTCACACCCAGCAATGTAATTCCTGGCTCATGCGTTCAGGAATATTACTCCTGGTGATGCCCAGGGGACCATATGGTATGCTGGGAATTGAACCCAGGTCAGCAGTGTGCAAGGCCAATGCCCTACCTGCTGGGCTATTGTTCCAGCCCCGGTGTGGGTCCCTTGATCCCTGATCCCTGAGCACAAAATGAGCTGTGAGTGAAGCCTGTGGCACCCATGGGCGGTTTATGAGAGGTGGGGAGAAGAGAGACAGTCACTTTCTCTCCATCGGGTTCTGCCACCCCAGAAACCCAGGTGGGAAGTCTGGGACTGAGACAGTCTGTATGAGTCTCTGTGAGCTCAGCGCTCACGCCA